ACTATACAAAGACAATCAATAGACCAAAATTTACGCAAACTTGCAGAAACCGCAGGATTTGCCGATATCTACACGCAAGACTATAGCGGATATTTTAAAGACTTTAAAGATTATATATATCTAAACGGTGAAAAATACCGTCCCCAAGATATATCACCAATTAACATTTTTAGCTTTGTTACACTCAAAAATGAGATCCTCGATTTTCTAGGATGGCCCTACTACATCTTAGAAAAATTGACTATTTTATACGCAATGTTTAACTTTATTGGATTTCTTTTCTCACTTTTAAAAGGAATCTACAACACATGTGCTATACACACACAAGTAAACAGACAAGCAAGCGTAGCACGCATACTCTTTGCAGGATTTTTTGGAATCTTTTCTACATCTATAAACAAAATACTTTTAGACGCACAAATAAAAGAATATAACACAAAAATAGCAACACGACAAAATACATACGACGAAGAACATAACAATGTAGACATAACGCCAACGGCACCACAATTACCACCCCTACCAAATAACCATCCACTATCCCTAGTCCCACGAAATTTTCGAAATTTAGCCATCACACATAATCCAAATTTTCGACTCACCACATCACAAAGTCCCATTCAAAATATAATGACACACCAGTCACAAGATCAAAATACTTATGAACAAATTATTGAACAACCCCATACCACCGCTTTTCAGTCTCAAAATAATCATTTTTTTAGCCCACGATGAGCCGCCAACTTGGATCACTACACCGATCAAATTCCCACCCAACCAATCTTACCTCTCCAATCCCAATAATACCACTTTTTGCTTTTCCGCCACCCGATTTTCCATCTAGTAATGTAACATCAGGCATGAATTCCGACACTAATTCACACATCTCAGTTTTATATTCCATCTCACAACTCAATAACCCGAATATTGAAACCCCCGATGAATTTGCCGACTCAGAACCATCCCCATCAAATCATTTTCATAATTCTTCTAATTTTTCTCAACCCCCTTTTCAACCCATATTATCCAATAACCCTGACCCAATCACTTCCACACCCTCTTATGCTTCCCAAGTTACCCCAACCTACTCCTCACTTCATTCTGACCAATCATCTCATTCTCCAGACACCCCCCGAATCTCCCCAGAGCTAGATAATTTTATTACCCTTCAACAACAACCCTACCACCTCCATACCCCAACAATAAACCAAATCTCCTCCACAATCAATTCATCCAACCCCCCTACCCCTACACCCTCTTCAAATTATACTGAATCATTAGCACCATCATCCACATCAACTGAATCTTCACTCAACACTAATAGAGCTTACCGCACTTTTAAAAGAAAGTTCCCCAACCATCCTTTCCCAGCAAAACCAGGAACAGCCCGTGAATACATCAACCACCCCAAGCATACTAACACAAAAGAATTTTTAGCCATCACCTTACCCTCATTCCCACAATACACCTTAAACACCCCCCACGACACTAACGAAACACGCAACTTTGTAGATGAATACGTTTTAATGCCCACTCTCTCTTGGACCTCATATTATCATTTTACTAACCCTCTTTGCTTACCTTTATCTAACACTCACATCGATATAGAGCGAAATACGGACATGCTATATCGACTCACTACACCACTAACCGCTAGACAATTTACTTACGTTGGATATAAAAAATCACTAAAAACACACACTGCACCTAGAGCTAACGAATATACACTCGAATACTATGATCACAACATCATCAGAGCTAACCAAGATCAATTCTTAGACGACGATCGCTTCGCTAATCCACAAATTACCGAGAAATTTTTCATCAAGACACCATATATATTTACACTAAACATCTTCGACCGAAAGTTTGATCACATTATTTCAGAAGCACTAACAGACACACAAGCATACGAAAGTTTTAAAGAACGCTTCCAAATATTTTCACTAACCTTTCATTTCCTTGCACCACACGAAAGAGATTTACACTGCTCACACGATATTATGTTGCGCACTAAACAAACCCACACATATAGTTATTATCGCTTCATCCAAAATCACTTTGACCTACACACACCCTCTAGACAACCACACCATCGCTTTCAATTCATTAATTCCAAATACACTTCACCATTTTTCCTAAATTTCACATATTGCATTAAAGATACTAACCTTCATGGTATTCTTCGCAATTATGATCCCATAACCCAAATGTACATCTTCTGTCCCATCACCAAGACCTTCAACGCCGAAGAATCCCGACCCTTCCTTATCCCGCACGAGTTTGTACAACCTATAGAAATCCCAATTTTAGAATTCATCCACAACACTAAATTCAATCACAAATTATATAATCTAATCCAAAACACACCTTATGAGTTTGCAGTTGGCACTGAAGAACTAACCACTATTAAGGCACTTCAATTGCTTTGGCCACTGCTTCAGACTAAAAATATCATCCGCATCTTAGCTAAACTACTAACAACTTCAGAACTAATACACGACATCTTCCCCCACGGTTTTTTCCCCGACGACTAACAGGTAAGTATGAATTAAATGAATATTACTAACTAATAAAATATAAAAAAAACTCACCATACTTTATCCATGTTTTCCTTAGATTTTTAGCCTTCATCCGACGATCACCTACAAAAACCACAAAAACAAATAAAGATCGCAAATTTCATCAAACAGATTTCAACAATTCTATTAATCTCTTACACTTATAAATTTATAAATTTAATACCAATGCAGTAAATTCATTTCTAAAATTTTCCCCACAAGCAGTAAATCTAATTATGATGAAAATTTGTAACTTAAAATTCCCCCATAACTAGCAGTAAATTTCCAAATTCTATGCAGTAAATTAATAAAATGCAAATGCAGTACTAACCTTTTGATATTCTCATTTATTCGCACAGAAATTCTATCCACACTCGCACAGCTCGCCCACGAAGAATTGTTTAAAATAATGAATTTCAGTTTCAAGTTTTCACACTCAACAACTCTAACATATAATAACATGTTTCAAACTTTCCTTTAACCCGGTTGGAAAGGAATCATATACTAAACAAAACTAACCAACGCAGCTTACTAAATACCACAAATCATAGAATAACAGCATGACTAAGAAAAGGAAACCAACGGTACCCAAACCGGATTAACCCAGTTTAAAACTGGATAATTTATTCTTTTGAAGACTATTATAAAGTCTAAGAAAGAAATAATAAAACACAAAAAAGTCGAAAGACAAACCCATACCACGAACAATTTGCTTTTTGGAAAAAGGACATAACCAACAAGACATAAGAAAAACCACAACAAACCCAACATAAAACGTTGTCACATAACAGGACCCCTCATAAAAACCGCATGAAATCATACTCCCACTCCTGGCCTAACCCACCAGGAAGGACGTCCTGAGCATGCTCTATAGCCGGCCTAACCCACCGCGCTACATCCACGCTTTGTGACCACACCTCTATTTTTAATAAGAGCTACTCAAGTGTGAGTAACTCTTCAAAATAACCGAACTAAAACAAAAAGCTTTTGTGAAAACAACTAACTAAAATCATAATTAAAAAATATTAAACTAATAAATGTTTTATAAAATGTAAATTACATTATGCAATACATAGATCAGAATACAACACCAAGGACGAACATCTAAAGACAAAACGACCCCACTACACTCGAGAGAGAATGGCCAACCACAATCGATATGCCACTCACAATCACAACTCAAAGGATTTAGAGTACGACTTGACTTCGCAGAAAAGGACTTCATTGAACTAGACCAATGACCACCTCGATGTTCAAGTATACGTACAGATCCGAGTAACCAGGCATCCCCTCCACGCACAATCTCCACGCCATTCCCAAATTAGATCAGACACAAAAGAAGTTCTCCACGCAGAACAGAAAAACCTGACATAGCAAACCATTCTGAAATCAGATTTGAGTTTGTTGCAAAGACTTAGTCGTTGTCACTAGAAGACACAACGTCTTATGTCTCTAACTCCAGCTTCCTGGAACTTCTTTAACAAAGAGGAAACAGAAGAAATATGATGTTCGCCAAACACCAACGTCCATCATCCATCCTTCGAATTGCAGAAGAACTATTCTAAAAAACTCTGTAAAACCCGGATGGGTGGAACCTGATCTAGACTACATTTTATGATTGGATAATTTAGATATTTTACCAATGTAAAGTATTTAATATTAACCAATCATGATCCATCTAACTAACAACCCACTTATTTGTAAGTGCTGAAGTTACTTGTAATTTCAGCACCAGAGAGATTTGAATTTAACTTAGAAATTAGTTGGACTCTCCCGAGCACTTCAGCAGCCGCAATAAACCAGTATACCCTAGATCTATTGAGCCTAGCAGAGACTAGTTAAACAACCTGAGACTAGATAGTATAAGAGTAAGATTAGGATCGGTATTAGACTAAGAAGTTGCACGAATCTATCCGGCCGAAAATAAGATAGCGTGACGAGCAGACGGTGTACCCTATCCGAAATTACTCTATGAGTTAACCAACTCGGTCATAACTCAAAATCTATAAAATAAACATCAACGCATATGTTACCCAGCAGTAATTTATTTCTAAATAACTCAATGTAAAGCAGTGAGAAAAAGTTTTGAAACTTATGAATGCAGCAAACTTTACGGCCAGTTTTTGGTCGAAAATAATTTAGAAATACGAAATGATAAATACCCGATAGATCATGAGAAGTGATTTCAAGAAACTTAATCAAGTGATTGGCATTGGAATAATCGGGCTTTAATTATTTGGGAGCAGGGTATAGTTTTAGAGGAGGGTATACTTCGCTTCCGATATAATCTTATTGTTCTGCTGAAATTGCAATAATTAAGATAACTTTTGTTTTGATGAATGGCGTCCGGTTCCAGATTTAGTTCTGAAGTTACCATTATTTCTTAGCTGAAACAACATTGAACCAAAGCATCCAAATATCTAATATTTGATAATTGAGTGTTCTCAATTCTTATTCAGAGTGATGTCATATCTCGGCTCACATCTAGAACAAATGTTTACTTGAAATTATCTGAAGTAAGATTGCTAAATAGGTTCTTCTAAGAGAAATTGCTATAAAATTTCTAGTACACCGGCCATGAAGGAGAATACTTCAACTGTTAACTACAACATGGGTTATACCATAGCAGATGCAACTTTAACAGCAGTGTCTGTAATTCCTAACTTCATCTGCCTCTTCCACATTTACTCCATGATGAAAAGAGAGAAAGTTATTAAATATTACCTCTACTTTTCACTCGTCATTACAACTTGTATAACCAGCACAGTAGGGAATCCCATGTATTTGATCACCAAGACAGTCGGCCTCCCGAACATGCTCAGCTCCATCCGTGCGAACTACAACTTGTGCACTTTCCTTCTGGGAACCTACTTATGTTCAAACTCGGTATTGCCTCTAACGCTCGGTAAGCCTAGTCAGTAATTATGCAGATGATGTCAGAAGATTCAAACTTGTGAAACAAAACTTGTTTTTATGTTTAACACAGAGGCGAAGCGGAGCTTTGCAACACTTGTGATAATTCAAGAACATAGCATTACACGACAGTGAATACGAAAGAGACGGAAGTCGATTTTTTTGAAAATTTAGCGTGAAAAAACTAGTTGGAAAAACTATACATCTTAGAAAACGTTTCGTTAATTTTTCTCGCATGATGTTTATAAACAGCCTTGAAAAGCATGGGGAATCGCTTACCGAGCGGTAACTAAGCCGACATAGTTTGAGTCGACCACCGCTGAGCCGGAAAAAAATGTTTAACAAAAAAATATTTGAGCAATACAGTTTCGAAGTTCGAAGTTTTTACGCCCTTTTCCCCGAGACCCAAAAACGCATGCGATTTTTTTGCCCTCGAAAGTAAGAGATGGTAAAATTAAATAGTACATAACAGCTCTCAATTACAGTAGAAACTGTTCCAATTAAAATAAACACTTCGTGTTTTGGAAAAAAAAGGCCAATGAAAAACCGTATAAGATTTTTAAAAAAGTGCAAAATCGGCTATTAAATATAAAACCAAAACCTGATTCTGAAAAAAATCAACAATTTTTAATAAGTTTTATTGAAAAAAAAATCAGATTAAAACTACTTGAACTGAACTCGGTAGTTATATTTGCATTTTCGAGAAATAAGGCGTGTCAGCCTGCACGCGAAAGTAACTGCCCGTATTTCCAACTGAACTGTAAGCCAAAATGTTCAGTGGAAAAAATTTTAGCTCCTGATTTCATGTACAGTTGCTCTCACTAGTGAAAGAATAGGAAAAAATTAAATACACAAAAAATATCAAACGTGTGCCTCAGTTTACCTTGAAAAAATTCAGTTTGAGACAAACATGCCAAGTAAAACAATTGAATGATAAATTCGCATCGAAACCAAATTGCGAAGTGATAATAAAACCGACAAAACTTGGTCAGGTGCCTGTTTAAAGAAACTTACAAAATTGAAAATAAAACTCGAACTCACCTGCTCAAAACACTCAAAACCATAAAAAAGTTGTTTGCACTTTAAAACGACACAGTATGAAGCCACTACCCCAATATAATATAGACCGAATAAATAGAATAAAAATTGTTTTTTTTTCAAGTCACCATAGAAAAAAAATCGAATGCAACAGTTTTCCGAACGGATAAACGCTCCAAATTTATTTTTTGATTGATGAAAGTACAGATTTAAGAAAATGATACAATGTTTATGTTGGACAAGCTGTTTGTCTGGAAATAGTCTATGTCAGGGGTTGATCTAGAATTTTCTCGAGGTGGGAGGCGAACTTTCAAAAAAAAAAAAAAAATTTGTCGATTGATTTTCTGAGCTCCAAATCACTTTAAAGATCCTATTTCGACCAAATGTTTTGTGGACGCCTCTTTCCTCAAGGATTCGACCCCCTGCCGACCCAAAGGTTCCCTCCTTTGTACTATTTTGTGATACCCAATTTTTGGCTGACGGACCCTAAAACTTTTTCTAAAGGTGCCTTCGGCGCCAATATATACTAATGTCTAGGGGGAGCGCGCGCCAAAAAAGAGCTAGTTTTGGCGCGGCGCAGTCATTTTGGCCAAAACAGCGTCGTTTCATGGGAGATTACGGAAAGTCATTTTGATCGACCTAAAAAAATTTTTTTCGAAAATCCTCCTTTCGAAAGGGTGTCCGCCCCGCCCCTCTTAAATCCGCCCCTGATCTGTGTTTTAATTTGATAACGTTTAACAAACTTGTTTTAAAACAGCCCGTCCCAAAATGTTCAAAAGATTGTTTTTTGACCAGAATTTTGAAAATATCAAGTTTCCATTGAATTTGCGTCCTGCAAGTTATCATAATCCACTAAACAAGATTTAAATCTTTGATCTTCTTTGCCTTCAGTCTGTCTGAGTTTGGAGCAACTATATGCAGTGTACTATCCAAATAAGGCATATAGAAGAAGTGCTCAGAAAACATGTCTGATGGCAGGGGTGTACTTGTGCGTGTCTTGGGCTATTGGCGCATTCAATGGATGGTACCTGCTGATCCTGCCCAACCATTCATTCCTCAACAAAGGAAAGACGGACCGCTGTTTTTTCGAGGTTAGAAATATTATCTAATCTAAATTTAAAAAATTGGGTTAAAAACTGGCAATGTAATAAATAGTATTATGTTATTAATATGTAGTGCATGGATGTTCTGACTCAAGAAACAGGTCGTTACTATTCAATAACACATGAGACTCGAAAGAGATACGTGTGGACTTTTTAAAATAAAACAATTTATTTCTCGAGGTTGAAAGACAGATTAAAAATCACGTGACGTTTTTACGTCATTTTTGGCACGTTTTGACCAAAAAGACGCGTTTCCTGGTCGATTCTTTATGCAGGGGGATACATGCATGCAAAGGAGAATGAGGTCAAATTCAGAGAACGAATACACTAGTGGGAGGGGATTGGAATGAAATGCGGAGAGAGAAAACAGGCATGCGAGGGGGATGGGGTTAAAAAACAGAGAGGGAAAATATGCGAGCAAGGGGAGCGATGTCAAAAGCAGAGAGGTAAAACATGCATGTGAGGGAAAGGGGTCAAATGAGTAGAGGGAATACATTCGTGCGAGAGGATAGGGATCAAATGAGACAAAGGAATACATGCATGTGGGGGGAATGAGGTCAAATTTGGAGAGGGAACACATGCGTGCGGGGTGATGGAGGTCAAATGCGCAGAACGAGAATATGCGTTTGAGAAGATGGGAGACAAGTGCAGAGATAGAAAACACGCATGCGAGGTGATTGGCGTTAAATACAGGAGCGAAAATATGCTAGCGAGGGGATGGATGTCAAACGCAGAGCGGGAAAACATGCATGTGAGGGGAAGGGGTCAAATGAGGAGAAGGAACACATGCGGGCGACGGGATTGGGGTCAAATATTAAAAAGGAATACATGCATGCGAGGGGATGGGGGTCAAATTTGGAGAGGGAAGACATAAGTGCCAGGGTAAGGGGTCAAAGAAGAAGAAGAAGAAGGAATATATGCATGCGAAGGGATGGGGGTCGAATTTGGAGATGGAATACATGCGTGCAAGGGTAAGGGGCAAATCAGAAAATGGAATGCATGCATGCGAGGGGATGTGGGTCAAATTTGGAGAGGGAATACGTGCGTGCGAGCTGATGCGGGGTCAAATGCGGAGAACGAATACATGCGTGCGAAAAGATTGGAGAGAAGTGCAGAAAAGGAAAACACCTGTGCGAGGAGTTGGGGTTGGAAAATAGTGAAGGAAAAATGAGAACGAGGGGAGGGATGTCATATGCAGAGGGGTAAAACATGCCAGCAAATACATGCAAGCGAGGGAATGAAAGTCAAATGGAGAGCGGGAAAACATGCATGTGAGAGCAAGGAGTCAAATGAGTAGAAGGAATGCATGCGTGCGACGCGATAGGTGTTAAATAAGGAGCGTAAAAAATGCGTGAGAGGGTAAGGGAGGGGATAGGTGTTAAATACGGAGAGGAGAGTTTTAAAAAGATGCGTACGATTGTAAGGAGTCAAATGAGAAGAGAAAATACAAGCATGCGAAGGGATGGGGGCCAAACATGGAGAGAGAGTACAGCGTGCGAAGGGATGATGGTTCAAATCCGCAGAACGAATATATATGCGTGCGAGGGGGATGGGGTTAAAATACAGTGAGGGGATACATGCCTGCCAAGTCATGAATGTCAAAAGCAAAGAGGGAAAACAAGCATGCGAGGGGATGAGGTCAACTGAGGATAGGGAATACGAACGTGTGAGTGATAGGTGTCAAATACGGAGAGAGAATACATGCATGCGAGGGGATGGATGTCAATTTCCAAGATGTAAAACTTGTATGTGAGGGAAGAATGGGGGTCAAACACAGAGAAGGAAATCGAGCGCGCGAGGGGAAGAGGTCAAATGTGTCGAAGAAATACATGCGCGCGAGGGGATAAGTACAAATACGGAAAAAGAATACATTCAAGCGAGGGTAAGGGGCCAAATGAGAAGAAGGAATACATGCGTGCGAGGAGATTTTTTGAATGCGTGCGAGTCAAATGCGGATAAAATAAAACGTCCGCGCGAGGAAATAGCAACACAAAATTTGTGTGCAAAATGATAGGGTCAAAATGATAGGGGTTAAAATACAGTGAGGGTGTACATGCGTGCCAAGTGATGGATGTCAAATGCAGAGAGGGAAAACTTGTATGCGAGGGGATGGGGGTTGAATACAGAGAGGGAAAACAAGCGTGCGAGAGGATGAGGTCAACAGATGAGAGGGAATGCATGCGTGCGAGGGGATAGGTGTCAATTACGGAGAGTAAATATATGCGAGCGAGGGCAAGGAGTCAAATGAGAAGAGAAAACACAAGCATGCGAGGGGATGGGGGTCAACTAAGAAGATAGAAGACCTGCATGCGAGGGGATGGGGGTTAAAATTGGAGAGGAAATACATGCGTGCGAGGGTAAGGAGTCAAATAAGAAGATGGAATGCATGCGTGCGAGGGGATGGGGGTCAATTTTGGAGAGGTAATACATGCGTGCGAGCTGATGGGGGCTCAAATGCGGAGAATGAATACATGCGTGCGAAAAGATGGGATACAAGTGCAGAAAGAGGGAATACACGTGTGCGAGGGGGATGGGGTTGAAAAACAGACAGGGGAAAATGTGTGTGAGGGGAGAGATGTCAAGTGCACAGAGGTCAAACATGCATGCAAGGTGGATGAGGTTAAAATACAGAAAGCAAAAAAAATGAAAGCGAGTGGATGAACATCAAATGGAGATCGGAAAAGGATACATGTGAGAGCAAGGGGTCAAATGAGGAGAAGGAGAACAGGCATGCGAGGGGGATTGGGTTAAAATACAGAGAAGGATTACATGCGTGCCAAGTGATGGATGTCAATTGCAGGGAAGGACAACTAGCATGCGGGAGGATAGGGTTTGAAGGCAGAGAGAGAAAAAAATTGAGTGCCAGGTGATGGATTTCAAATGCAGAGAGGTAAAACATGCATGCAAGGTGGATGAGACTGAATATAGAGAACAAATACATGCGTCCAAATGAATGATTGTTAAAAGCTGAGCGGAAAAACATACATGTGAGAGGAAGGAGTAAACTGAGGAAAAAACACGCGCGTTCGAGGCAAAGAGGGTCAAATACGGAAAAGGAATACAAGCGTAGGTAGAAATGAGAGGTTAAATGCGGAGAACGAATACATGCGTGCGAGGAAGATGGGGTTAAAATACAGTGAGGGAATACATGCGTGCCAAGTGATGGATGTCAAATACAGAGAGGGAAAACAGGCATGCGAGGGGATGGGGGATAAATACAGAGAGGGAAAACAAGCGTGCGAGGGGATAGGTGTTAAAAACGGAGCGTAAATAAATGCGTGCGAGGGTAAGGGAGGAGATAGGTTTCGAATACGGAGAGTAAAGAAATTCGTGCGAGTGGTAAAGGGTCAAACGAGAAGAGAAAATACAAGCATGCGAGGTGATGGGGTCAAATATGGAGAGAGAGAGAGAGAGAGTACAGCGTGCGAAGGGATGATGGGTCAAATGCGCAGAACAAATATATGCGTGCGAGGGGGATGGGGTTAAAATACAGCGATAGAATACATGCGTGCCAAGTTATGAATGTCAAGCGCAGAGAGGGAAAATATTCGTGAGAGGGGTTGGGTTAAATAAAAGAGCAGAGATAATTCATGCATGCAAGGGTGATGGGGTTGAAATATAGAAAGGGAATTCATTTGTACCGAGTGATGGATGTCAAATGTGGAGAGGGAAAACAAGCAGGTTAGGGGGCGGGGGGTTAAAAGCAGAGAAGTAATACATGCATTCGAGGGGATGGGGGCCAAGTACGGAGAGTCAATACATGCGTGCGAGGGGATGGAGGTCAAATGCGGAGAAAAAAACGTGCGCGCGAGGAGATAGGGACACAAAATATGCATTCAACAAAAAGTGAGGAAGGGAAACTTGCGTGCGAGAGCCTGGGGGTTAAAATTTGACAGACAATACTTACCTATGAGGGATGGGATGGGATGAAAAGTGGAAAACGAATACATGCCTGTAAGGTAATGGGGGTCAAATACAGTGAAGACGACGTGTGTCCGAGGGAATTGGGGTTACAAATAGAGAAGGAGTACATGCGTGTGAGAGATGTGATGAAAAGTTAGGCGTTAGGCGGACGCCTTTTTTCAGGGATTCGATCCATATTTGGTGACGGACCCTTTGGCTATATATACTAGTTTTTAGGGGGAAGCGCTCCGAAAAAAAACTTGATTTTTTTGGTCAACATTTTCCAAAAAGTGCCTAACAATGCTTTTTTGGCCTGTTTCTTCAAAATTTTGCCTGCGGCGCACAAAATTTGGCCAAAACAGGGTCTTTTAAAAGCTATGGGAGAGCTCGGAAAATCAATATGGTTGGCCTAAAAAAAGGTCGATAAAGTTTTTGGAATTTTTTTGAAAATCAGCCTCCACCCGTCGAGAAAGTTTTATATCCGCCCCTGGCTTACTGATTTCTTACTTCTTACTGATTTTTACTGTGCTTTTATGCAGAATAGCTAAATTACAATCCATTATGTTTCATTTTTCTAATAAAATAATTCTTTGATAGAAAAAGGGATTATAATCTATTATAATAGATTATAGTAGATTATAAGAGATCATAAGTTTTTCGGAAAAAACTATAATCAATTATAATTGATTATAATTTTTTAAATTGTCAATAAAAATGTTATCATTATAATGGATTATAAGTCGTTCAAAAATCTAAATTTGGTGCTTATAATTAATTATGTTCTTGCTAGAATTACGATTATAATTATAATATAATCGATTATTTTCGCTTTTTACTGAGTGCGGGTACAAAAAAATTATTTATTATTTTTTCGAACTAATATTGTTTTTTTTTGGAATTAATGTGATAAAAGGATCTGAATAGATGGATCTGAGTTGAAGAAAATTTGACAGTCATAACAAAATAGGCAAATAGGGCAACAGTTTTTGTCAAAAAAAAACTACATAAGTTTAAAAAAAAAAAAAAAAAAAAATACTAACCTTTTTCAATTTTATGCGCACAAGTTTTTTATACGGTTATCAGTTTGTTTTTAAATTAGCGTTATACGGTTTTCTTTCTATAATAAGTGTGGGCGTTTGCTTTACTCGCTCAAAATTAAAAAGAAAATCAGAAAATCAAACCCGTTTTTCTTGTCATTGGGACAATTTTTTTATTTACTTAAATTTCGTTCGATTTACAACTATAAAGCCCCTGTGTGATATGACCCTTGATGATTATTTGTGGTACCTGGTTTTGCAAGGAAAGCATAAAAAAGGCAAAAAACAAAAGCTCTCCCGAATATAAATTTCCGCCCCGTTTTTAATGGTCGATGTTTATGTTGGTTTTGGTTTGTGGTGCTCAGATTTTTGTCTAGGACGCCCGTTAAATAAATATTGCGTAGATACTGCAGCATTTAAGTGGGACTATCTATATGCCCTGTCAAACGTCATAGTCATGTCTCTGAACTTCAAACTTATGTGGGACTCAGACGTATACTGTTTGATATTTGACCTTGCTGGAGCTTAAACTATTTTCTTCAAAGTAGTCTTTTGAAATAGACCGACCGTTATGAAGCCATAAATCTGGCGAAGTAAGGCGTTTAGGAGTCTGTTTAGAAGGCATAGGCGCAATGATGTCTGCTGAGTCTAATTTTCTTGTCTAAAAACACCCCAAGGCAAAACTATATATACTTTGTTTGCATAATTATTTATAAAAAAAAACATAGATTTCGCATGCTCAGTGAAACTTTTCGGTAAACTTGTGTAGACTTTCGGTAAACCTGTTATAAGGCAAATAAATATAATATCTTGACCTTTTATAAAAAAAACTGTTAAGGTGAAAGTAGAAAAATGAAAGTAGGAAAACGAGTATGAAATAAAGTTGTGGAACTGATCCGTCGTTTAGGAAGTATTGTATAATGAGATGCTGATGGTCTACCTCTGCTGTAACTTCTACCTTCCCCTGGCTCTCTTGCTGACGTCACACTGTCTCCTCTACAGCAGACTGGGAGTGATGGAAACAATTAGCGGTGCAGGTAGTGCTCAGAATCACAACAACAATTATGATGCCTCCAGTTCAACCGTCCAAATCAACTTGAACATGGTGAGAGGTTCACATCACAACATACAGCTTAGAATTAAAAATGTGTCTGACACAATATATCGCATATAGGCTAGGTAAATTTACGAAGAGGCCGGGAGGGACGGGACAGGGCGGCAATTTGTGGCTTTCGCCGCCCAAAAAAAACATCGTTTGTTATATTTACTACTTCCATTAACTGCTGCCGATTCTTAAAACTCGTGTCAATTGGTCTTAGCCAAAGAAAATCAGTAAAACACTCTCAAAATGTCACAAAGCAAATTTTTCAATCAATTTAAGCTCCAAAATCGTGGTTTCTTAAGAAAAATTTTTCCAAAATCATCTCAAACAATATTTTCTAATGGTAAGCGGGGTAAGTTGAGACCACTCAGATTAGTTTCTAGCTATAAATAGCCTAGATTTAGCTAATTTTTGATCAGAAATATGATGAGAAATAATTTTTTTTTAGAAAATCCTTGCTTGGTTTAAACATTTCAAAAAAATTTCTGGTCAAAAATTTAGATGAAAAGTCAAGTGTTTCTCGTCAGAATAATAGAATTTGCTTAGTACGGGTATAAAAATAAGTTACCCTGAAAATAAGAAAGATTTGGGATACTCAAACTGCATTCATTTATTTCTCATAAACAATAAATGAAGACGATAAGGAAAAAAGTTGTCCGAAAATGGAGATCGAAAAGCTCCAAAACTATTTGAAAATCTTGCAAACAAAATATAGCAAGCAAACAAACTGCAAATTGCATACCCTAAAAAAATAATTGGGGATAAAAAAGCACTTTCTGATTTTTGCTACAAATAAAAATCAAAATGAACCAGGAAAGATGAAAAACAGTTTTGAACGATATCGCAAAAAAAAACATTCAGAAAATCTGAAAAACTTTTTTAAAGCATCTGAAAAAACAACCAAATACATCAAAATTATCAAAAATGAAGTTCATACAAAATGTTCAGAGAACTGGATCACAAAAAAATCACAATAAAAACGGCGCCCGTAGAAGACAATAAAAACGAAAACTCAAGTGTTTTGAGTTATATCCTTTTGGGCATCTTATTTTCAGCCGGGGAGATTCGTGCAACTTCTTAGTCTAATACCAATCTTAATCTTACTCTTATATCTCTTAGTCTCAATAGATCTAGTGTACACCGGTTTATGCGAGTTAGTTCCAGAATGAGAACAATTGTATTCTGAGCTGAATTCAAATTGTTCTGGTGTTGAAACTACAAGTAGTTTCAACACTTACAAATAAGTGGGTAGTTAGTTTGATGGAGTATGATTGGTTGGTATTCAACCTTTCATAGAGATATAATATCAGAATAATATCCAATTATAAATTCTAGTTTAGATCTGGTTCCAACCATCCGGGGTTTAGAAAGTTTTAGTTTTTCAGTGTTCTATTGTAGTGGAGGATAGATGATGGTGTTTTTCTTTAGAAGTTGCGAGCATATTCTTTTTTACGACTAGAAAGAAGGATTGTAATCACGATCGTTTCGGGATATCGTAACATGATTTCTGATCGGTTGTGATGAGTGTTGAATGGTTGATTAGAGAAAAGCAATGTTCTAATCTCGTTCGGGAGTGGCAGATAGTTTGAATTTGGATGCAGTGCCTGGTGACTCGATCTGTAGTATACTTGAACATCCAGATGGCCATTGTTTGGTTGCAATGGGTTTCCTTTGTTGCGATGCCAAGTCGTACTTTAAATCCGTTCAGTGTAGTGACTAAAGGCAGCATGTCAGGTGTGTTTTGCAATTCCGTAGCTGGATTGTGATTGAGTTTTCAAGTTCCTTGCTGCTCTTCTTTGGTCTGTATGTTATCTATATACTGCATTGTAATATTTACATATACAAATCTTTGTTAATTTTTATTTTAATTATGATCTTGCATTAGTTTTTATCGCAAAAGCATTATTGTTTAGTTCGATTAATTTTAAGAGCTTCTCACACTTGAGTAACTCTCGTCAAAAAAAGAGTTGTGGGTCACAAAGCGTGGATGTAGCACGGTGGGTGAGGCCGGCTATAGAGCTTTCTCAGGGCATCCTCTCTGGTGGGTTAGGCCAGGAGTGAGGCTATAAATTCATGCTCTCTTTTTTGGAGGGTCCTGTTTGAGTTCAACTTTTTGTGCCTTTTTATTACTGTTTTTTTTCCTTTTTTGTCTTGGTTGTGTCTTTTTCTTTAAATTTCAAATCGTTTGTTTTGGGTTTGTATTTCGAGTTTTTTTGTGTTTAGTTCTTTTAAGTTCAGACTTGAAAGTAGTCTTCAAAAGATAAATTTGTCCACTTCTAAGCTGGTGTTAATCCAGTTTTGGTACCGTGGGTTTTCTTTTCTTAGTCATGCTGTTAGGTTGTGGTGTTTAGTTAGCTTGCGTTGGTTAGTTTGATTTATTATATAATTTTTTTCCAACTGTGTTAAAGGAAAGTTTAAAACGTGTTAAAACTGGTTAGAGTTGTTATCAGTGAAAGTTAAAACTTAAATTCATTATTTTAAACAATTCTTCGTGGGCGAGCTGTGCGATTGTGGATAGAATTGTGGGTGAGTGAATTTTTAAACTATAGAGAAGCATCTTTGAAAAGATTAGTACTGCTTTTAGTTTTATAGGCAACGTTTATTAATTTACTACTTTGAAATGATTAATTTTACTGCTTGAGTTGGGGATTGAAATTATCAATTTATTTTCATTGTAAGAATACTTACTGCATAGGGGAAAAGAATATATGTATATCATTTTACGTTTTATTTTTTCTGTTATGTTTTGGGTGATAAAGCTGAGATGAAGAGATGATTTATATTTTACTAATAACTTGTGTATTTACTAACTAATTTTTATTTTTTATTTCCAATAAACATTTTTTCTAGATATCTTTTTAAACTTACCGCAGATTAAAGGAAACGACTAGTGATGTTTTTATCAGTCGTTGTTGTACAATAATAGGTTTAGCGCCTGTAATTATCGGTGAAGATTTTTCTTCAAGGATACTATGTTTGCAAATGAAAATCTAAATTCATTGCTAATAAAACTCTAAACATAAAAGTTTACGTCGGCTTTTGCCGTACGACCATGAAACGTATGGGTAAGTTCCGTTGTAGTCGTATATCGTTTCTTGTCCGAGGTCGTTTTCCAATACCGGGTAGTTCTCGTATCGTTCGGAATAATGGCTCTGATCTTTTGAGTCGTAGAGACCTTTCAAATAAATTATTATCGTGTAACATTTCTGAGAATTTTTGTCTAAGTCTAATCTGTGTTTGGTTAGTTCTAAGCTATTTTGTTGCTTAAGGTCTTATTCGAGACATATGGTCGCACCAGATGAGTTGGGACTGATGTCTAACTCATAGAGTAATTTCAAATAGGGTACACCGTCTGCTCGTCACGCTATCTTATTTTCGGCCGGATAGATTCGTGCAACTTCTTAGTTTAATACCGATCTTAATTTTACTCTTATATCTCTTAGTCTCAATAGATCTAGTGTACACCGGTTTATGCGAGTTAGTTCCAGAATGAGAACAATTGTATTCTGAGCTGAATTCAAATTGTTCTGGTGTTGAAACTACAAGTAGTTTCAACATTTTCAAATAAGTGGGTAGTTAGTTTGATGGAGTATGATTGGTTGGTGTTCAACCTTTCATAGAGATATAATATCAGAATAATATCCAATCATAAATTCTAGTTTAGATCTGGTTCCAACCATCCGGGGTTTAGAAAGTTTTAGTTTTTCAGTGTTCTATTGTAGTGGAGGATAGATGATGGTGTTTTTCTTTAGAAGTTGCGAGAATATTCTTTTTTACGACTAGAAAGAAGGATTGTAATCACGATCGTTTCGGGATATCGTAATATGATTTCTGATTGGTTGTGATGAGTATTGAATGGTTGATTAGAGAAAAGCAATGTTCTAATCTCGTTCGGGAGTGGCAGATAGTTTGAATTTGGATGCAGTGCCTGGTGACTCGATCTGTAGTATACTTGAACATCCAGATGGCCATTGTTCGGTTGCAATGGGTTTCCTTTGTTGCGATGCCAAGTCGTACTTTAAATCCGTTCAGTGTAGTGACTAAAGGCAGCATGTCAGGTGTGTTTTGCAATTCCGTAGCTGGATTGTGATTGAGTTGTCAAGTTCCTTGCTGCTCTTCTTTGGTCTGTATGTTATCTATATACTGCATTGTAATATTTACATATACAAATCTTTGTTAATTTTTATTTTAATTATGATCTCGCATTAGTTTTTATCGCAAAAGCATTATTGTTTAATTCGATTATTTTTAAGAGCTACTCACACTTGAGTAACTCTCGTCAAAAAAAGAGTTGTGGGTCACAAAGCGTGGATGTAGCACGGTGGGTGAGGCCGGCTATAGAGCATGCTCAGGGCGTCCTCTCTGGTGGGTTAGGCCAGGAGTGAGGCTATAAATTCATGCTCTCTTTTTTGGAGGTTCCTGTTTGAGTTCAACTTTTTGTGCCTTTTTATTACTGGTTTTTTCCTTTTTTGTCTTGGTTGTGTCTTTTTCTTTAAATTTCAGATCGTTTGTTTTGGGTTTGTTTTTCGAGTTTTTTTGTGTTTAGTTCTTTTAAGTTCAGACCTGAAAGTAGTCTTCAAAAGATAAATTTATCCACTTCTAAGCTGGTGTTAATCCAGTTTGGGTACCGTGGGTTTTCTTTTCTAAGTCATGCTGTTAGGTTGTGGTGTTTACTTAGCTTGCGTTGGTTAGTTTGGTTTAATATATAATTCCTTTCCAACTGTGTTAGAGGAAAGTTTAAAACGTGTTAAAACTGGTTAGAGTTGTTATCAGTGAAAGTTAAAACTTAAATTCATTATTTTAAACAATTCTTCGTGGGCGAGCTGTGCGATTGTGGATAGAATTGTGGGTGAGTGAATTTTTAAACTATAGAGAAGCATCTTTGAAAAGATTAATACTGCTTTTAATTTTATAGGCAACGTTTATTAATTTACTACTTTGAAATGTTTAATTTTACTGCTTGATTTGGGGGTTGAAACTATCAATTTATTTTCATTGTAAGAATACTTACTGCATAGGGGAAAAGAATATATGTATATCAATTTACGTTTTATTTTTTCTGTTATGTTTTAGGTGATAAAGCTGAGATGAAGAGATGATTTATATTTTACTAATAACTTGTGTATTTACTAACTAATTTTTATTTTTTATTTCCAATAAACATTTTTTCTAGATATCTTTTTAAACTTACCGCAGATTAAAGGAAACGACTAGTGATGTTTTTATCAGTCGTTATTGTACAATAATAGGTTTAGCGCCTGTAATTATTGGTGAAGATTTTTCTTCAAGGATACTATGTTTGCAAATGAAAATCTAAATTCATTGCTAATAAAACTCTAAACATAAAAGTTTATGTCGGCTTTTGCCGTACGACCATGAAACCTATGGGTAAGTTCCGTTGTAGTCGTATATCGTTTCTTGTCCGAGGTCGTTTTCCAATACCGGGTAGTTCTCGTATCGTTCGGAATAATGGCTCTGATCTTTTGAGTCGTAGAGACCTTTCAATTAAATTATTATCGTGTAACATTTCTGAGAATTTTTGTCTAAGTCTAATCTGTGTTTGGTTAGTTCTAAGCTATTTTGTTGCTTAAGGTCTTATTCGAGACATATGGTCGCACCAGATGAGTTGGGACTGATGTCTAACTCATAGAGTAATTTCAGATAGGGTACACCGTCTGCTCGTCACGCTATCTTATTTTCGGTCGGATAGATTCGTGCAACTTCTTAGTCTAATACCGATCTTAATCTTACTCTTATATCTCTTAGTCTCAATAGATCTAGAGTATACTGGTTTTTTTACGAGTCGGTCTCTTGGAAAAGGCAACTAAGTTGTAAGTTAATTTCAATATGCTTTGGTGCTGAAATTACAAGCAGTTTCAACACTTACAAATAATTGGGTTGTTAGTTTGATTGAGCATGATTGCTTAGTATTCAATATTTTACAGAGATAAAATATCAGAATAATATCCAATAATAAATTCTAGTTTAGATCTGGTTCCGGTTTTCAGAAATTTCAGCCAGAAAGAACCTTAAACAAGCAAATCAATCCACGTATCATTGTAAAAGAAAACATTCAAGTCAAATTTTTAAAGAAAAACAGGAACTTTTGTTAACTTATGAAATGTTTTTCGTTGGATATTTTTTGACATATTAAAACAATACGCTATGCCATCAACTTGAATCGATTTATATTTCAATCCTAAAACACTAATTTTTTTAAAAGTTGAATTAATTCTACGCTAAAAAATCAGAAACCGCGCATCCGAAAAACTGAAATGTAATGCAAAAGCCTTTTTTTAATTCAAATTTTTCATAACAGAAAGTTTTGGCATGTATAAAAAGCAGGAAACCGTGAACTATATTTACCCTCTTGAAAATGATGAAAAGAAATACTTTAAAATTTTACCAAAAAAGTGACATAAATGAAACAACCGGCAAGTAAGCCGACAAAAAATCAATGCATATCGGATTTTTTTCACCGGTAAGCCCAAAATAAGTTCAGTAGCTCTAGACTAGCTGTTATATTACAGCTGTGAAACGTAGAACTTGGCTAGAAAAGGAAATCTCAATATTGGACATCCTATCGACAAAGTTACTTACAAAGTTACACTTGCTTATTGCACGATTAAAAAGCCGTACCTCAATTTTGGCTCATAAACGTAGAGGATAAAGTCAGGCAATATCAAATTAGTCTTCTGTTAATTACCAGATTAAGGCGAGGTAAACTATATTGAGGGATAAAATGAAGAAGGTTTAAAGAAACGGTGATGATGAAAAGCTTCGGGGTTAAAAAAGAGGACGTATCACAAAAAGAGTTTGTAGCACAAAGGTTAAATCACAAGGAATTATCATAATATGGTTGAAAACATTGCTGCTATCTTATCAGTTGATGGCGCGTTTATTTCAGAGTGTGAGCACTCGCTACCAGTATCGTTCATCCATGAACAGTCTGCTGGTCCTCTCTTCCTTTTGCCTCCTCTCCTGGACTCCCCTAATGGTCATCCGCACCGCAGAGATCTTCGACAACACGTTCCAAGAAGGAGTAAGTTTATTACGGGGCCTAAGCAATGGCACGACACGCAAGTTAGACGATTGTAATTTAACTATAAATTTAGACTATACCTCTTTGTGAAATTAGACAATAACTCGTTGTGAATTTATACAATAAGAAATAAGCCAACAAAACTTGTTGCTTAGAAACAAGTTGCACAAAAACAAGAAGAGTAATTATTATAGAACCGATGAAGATTATTATTTATAATTTTTATTAAAAAATTGAGTAGAAAAAATGGTACATTTTTGAAATACCTAAAGTGTACAACTCTGATATTAATAGACTGATTTTCGGTTGGCCAAACAGTGTTTACTCAACTAAAAAATTTAAATCTGTAAAACATTTAAGTCTGTAAATAATTAATTTAAAAACGTTTATTTAAAACATTGTGTTTTTCTCAATTCTGTCAACTTTTCCCTGAACCGCACTCTTGCTCGCCTTTTTATAAAAAGTAAATGTGTTCAACATTCTTATCTGCCATAGAGCGTAATTTGATCTTGAAATCAAAAATCAAAGCGTCAAAAAAAACAGATTTATATGTAGAGCAAAAAATTGTAAATATTTTAAAATTAAGTAAAAAAGATATGAAAGGCACACAAAATATATGTAGTGACAAGTTTATGGCGTATTTACTACTTTTACTCAAGGAATCTTACCCGGATTGACCAACCTATTAACTTATTTTAAGATTTGTAGAAAAATTCAAGAGAAACCACCAAAAACAACTTAGAATTGTTTCTATACCGTAATTACGGATAAAATCATTTAACAAAATTTTTAAATTTTCTCAAATTTATGCCTGCAAAAATTTCAGACTGTGGTTATAATTTATGCATTTTGAACAAAAAAAAACTACGAAAAAAAGCCTTGTTTTCCCAATAAACCTTCTACTTATACGTATATAGCGGTTCGAAATTACTAAGGAGACAAAAAAACATTTTGACAAATCATGTCATATAGCCCCGGACGTGTTGAATGTGTTGTGAATCTATTTAATGACAAAACTTCTAACAACTAGCAAAAAGTTATCTCTAAAAGTTTGTGATCGTGTCAGATTCATGTGTCGAATGGATAAATTCGGCAAATGAGTTTTTGTTATTTTACTCAGCGACAGCGAAGAAGCTACGTAATGTTTACGAGAATATTATAATTAATTTTAATGCAAAAATTATTTGAAAATTTTTTGCGGGGAAAAAGTCACTATCTTACATCTTTTCCAGATGATAAAGCTCCTAACTTGTAATATTCAAGAGCCTTATTTTGAAAGTATTTTTGAAAAAGTTCGACTTGTGCAAAACCCAGGTAGGCGAGGTCATATATATGACCAGGCGCGGATCTAGGAATTTCTGAATTTCTCGAGGGGGGGGGGGGGCGGATTTTCAAAAAAATTTTGAAATGCAGGCCAAAAATTGCGTTTTTAGGCACTTTTTGGAAAATTTCGACCAAAAAATTGCGTTTTTTCGGCGCGCGCTGCCCCTCAAAATTAGTATAGATTGGCGCCAAAGGCGCCTTTAGAAAAGTTTTAAGGTCAGTCAGTCAAAAAAAAATGGATATCTCAAAAAAGTACAAAGGTGGGGCCCTTTGGGTCGGCAGGGGGTCGAATCCCTGAGGGGAAAGAGCGTCCGCCCCGCCCCCCCCCCCCTAAATCTGCTACTGTATAAGACCCCGCATTGTCTGAAATTTTATATCACACAATTTATATATATGAAAAACTTCTTACCACACAACACCACACAATTTTTAACGCACAGAAAATTGCATGAAGTTTCTAAGAAAAGCAGTTTTCCTTGACACATACTGTTCCATAAACCAAAAAGTTTAGTTTTTTCTTATAATGTAATTTCCAAAAAATTTTGGTTTAATCGACACAAGTGACAAAGACCTTGGTTTTTCTCACACAAAAAGATCTAAAGAAAGTAAACAAACATTTAATTTTAGCAAAACTCTCAAATATGAAATTTTTATTATTATTAAGACCATTTATCCACGGGGAAAGGACCAACACAAGAGCTGTACAGCTCATCACGGCGAACCGCTGTTGTGCCCTTGTTTAAGAACTACATGCAATTTTTTTTTTTGGTTATTTTTCTGGGCTGGGTAATGTTGCTTCACCCTCAAGCAACGAGCACGGATCATGGTGGGCCTCGAACATCCGACCTTTCGATTGAGAGGCGGAGACGTAACCACTTCACCACCGCTCCCCTTTTAAATTTAATTTAATCAGGCATTGATCAAGGCATAAATAAACATGCCAAAAGAAAGAAAAAAAGCATTTTGAGAGATTTTGAAAAAAGTTATACAACTAAAAGGAAAAAACCAACGTTCGTGTGTATTGAGGACTACGTTATGCGCGCAAAAAATTAAGTTTTGCCATTTCTTTTTGGAAAAAATTTGCTTTGTTACAAAATTTGTTTTGGGGTTGAAAAAAGAACAAAATTTTTTCGAGGCACTTTCGAAATTACTTGTCGCCATCATGTCGCCATCAAAAAATGCCAATATTACAATCTCCATATATGAAAACTGTATGGCAAGTATTTTATATAAAAAATGTTCAAAACGCGTTGCTTTCAATTTTTTCGAAATTCATTAACACTGGCTGCTTTGTCTGCAATTTTTGAGTTCATTCTTTGATTTATGACAATGTTCATGATCAAAATTGTTTGTGGAAAAATTGCTTATTTTTTAATCTCTATATATTCTAAATTTTTTTGGTGTATGGAATTGTATGGTGAGCTTTTTCGGGGGTATGGAGGTCAACGCGGGAGCTTCTTTAGCTTTTCAACTGTTTAAGTTATACAAATCATGGTTCTTAACAGAACACATCTGACGAGCTTCAAGTGAAAGATTAAACATCGCATTGAAAACAAATTTTTTGTATTTGATTCATCTAAATTGTTTTAAATAGTTACTTTTATCTTAGGGCAAAATTTCCTCGGTGGTTTTGTGGGCGGAATGAATTATAACTGAAGTTAGTAAAACTTTTTCAAATCTGTTTAGATTCCAGGTACAGTTCTGAATGCAACAGTTATTCTCTGGCATTCCTCTACCCTTTTTAACCCACTCTACATTCTGTTCAAAGAGTATCGCAGCGGCAATTTCAGACCAGCACTCCCGCGTAAACTCAATCAGCGCCACGAAGAACACGAATCCACTGCTTAGTGGAAATATTTCAAAACTAATCCTCTTTAAGAAGCACTTAAATATATCAAACACCTTTATTTATGTCATATATTTGAACTTGCCAATGGATATTGTGGTTTTTATTTGGATTACGAGCTTTTACTGTGAAATCAGCTATAAGGCCATAATCAAAACAAACAATGAAACTTCGAATTATCTGAATACTTAATCCATCTGATCCTGAATTTATATTTATATGCGTTTTACTGCGAGCGTAAAAACGTAGCCAAATCGTGAATAAACTGCAACTGTCAAGCTAAAAAAAATCAAGAAAAAGGTCATATCTCAGCAGCAAAAAAACAGAAGAAAAATTAAAAAAAAAACAGTTGAGAATGCTGATAAGTAATTACACCGATTCAGACAAAGTGAGGAAACAGAAAAAACGTAGTTATAAAATAATATTTCAACGCTCTTTATATCGATGAGCAAAAGTAATTCGCTATGTAAATAACTGAAAACCAACAACGTGAACGGGGCAGTACAACAGTGCCGAAGTACAACAGTGCCGAAAAAAAATTAGTTCAACAGTGCCGAAAATGAAAACTTTGTTCAACAGTGCAGAAAATATGAAAAGTTTCAACATATTAAGTGCGGTAATCAAAAATTAAACGGCGAACCTTTATAATCTTAAGTGACACTTAACGATTTTGAGCGAGAATATTTGCAATTTAGACGTTTTGGCCCCAAAATAATTGTTTAATTTGCAGTTGCAGACATTTTGGCGCCAAAATTGGAGTGATTTTCTTTGATAAATAGCGTCAATAATTTTCCGCTCTTTAGAAAATGCGTTAAAATTATTCTGAAATTTTCCCGCCTTTTTCGACACTGTTGTACTTCGGCACTGTTGAACGCCCCCACGTGAACATCTCACGGGTTGAAAAAAAATGGAAGAAATTTCTATGACTCGCAGTTTTTCATTTACGAAAATTGCATAACTAGCATTCCTCCATAAGCTTCAAACAAGTTTTTTTGTTGTTATTTTAGTGTCCAAATACATCTGTACTGAAATATTACCGAAAAAAAAACTTTCTAAATTATTTTTTAATTTATATGTTATTAGCTTAACAAAACTGAGCCTAAAACGTTGATGATGACAATGACTTTTGAAATCTCAACTTTGTCAGAGCAGGATAGAATAACTGCAACTGAGATATGCCAGGAACAAGTACTTGCAGTAATGAGAAAAACTTTTAAGGAGGCCATTTTAATTTTAATAATTGGCCCAAAAAATTTTCCTTCATTTCTTTGAAAAAATGCAATTCGTGTGGGGTGCTTCTTTCAAAAGACAACTCATCAGCAAGTATAGACAATTCGCATTTAAAAAAAAAACATTTAAAAATTTGGTCAGCGTAGCTGCACGACAGAGGGTAGGACTTTACACAAAAGTTTGGGGACGGCTATAGCTGCGGAGCTGCCATGCGAGCGTTTCGCGCCCACCGGTTAATTTAACCCTACCCGCATCCAAGTTTAGGCGTAAATAATCGATTATAACGGATTATTATGATAATTTTTTGACAATTATAATCGATTATAATTACCAAAATTAGGTCTTTAAGGGATTCATAATCGATTATAATCGTGATATTTTCGAAGAGATTATTATCTCTTATAATCGATTATAATTGATTATAATTGATTAGAGTTCTTACTAAAAACCCTTAAAATCAATTATAATCGATTATAATTGATTATAATCTCTTATTTTGCCGAAATTTTCTTATATTCGAAATATATCTTACGGGTTATTTTTTTGTGTCAATAAAAAAATCTCTAAAAGAGAGATCTCTTGAACACTTTGGTTCATCTGAACACAAAGTTATACCACGAAACAAAAGTTTCATAGAGATCCTTTCATATGAGTGGAAAGGTTCTCGCGGTAGAAGAAAAATAAATTTTCCGAATCAATCACGAAACTAAATCAATCTGCTGATGTTTTGGTGTTTAAAAAAGCTTAAAATATGCATCACAAAACAACTCTAATGGGGAAGATATGAAAAAAAACTTATAAATTTGAATTAATTGAAAAACTTTAAAAACATTTTTCTCATTTTTCATAGGAACCTATGTACACAAAAAGTATAAAATATAAGCAATTTAGATGCAACTTCGAAGACAAAAATGGACAAACAAAAGGGATTACAATCAATTATAATCAATTATAATGGATTTTTGTGCAAAACTAGTAAAATAGAAATTTGAATGAAAATAATGGATTATAATCAATTATAATCGAATATAATTGTATCAAAAAATAGACGAATAAATAATCGATTATAATCGATTATAATGGATTATAATTAATTATAATTTGAATTTAAAAAGAGAGATTATAATCGATTATTAATTGATTAAAATTGATTGTTTCTCAATTATAGTGAGACTGGTACTAAAATCGTAATATAATCGATTATTAACGCTTGAAACTGGATGCGGGTATATTCGCAAGTGTTGATTTCCTTCAATTTTGCTAATTGCTTTTTGTTGCGAGTCGTCGGAATGTCTTTTAGATACAACCATTGAAAATGGGGAGGAACTTTGTATTCGGGTGTGTTTTAGTTTTTTCTTCTTTTTTTCTCTTTGTTTTCTATGAAAAATTAGGTACCACAAATAATCATCGGACTTGGTTGAGTGGTATATCATATTGAGGCCCTTTCAGTCGTGATTCGAACCACATTACAACATTCCCAAAAAAATTTTCTGGTGTCGAGAAAAATCGATTAGAAATTTTGAGCTTTCGTCTTAATTTAAGCCGTTTACAAAGCTTATTTAAGACTAATTTTAGTTTCACCTGAGTAAATTATTTTTCGACATTTTCATGCTATTTTCAAAATACTAAAAAAAATCTGCAAAAATTTGAAAAAAAAAATTAAAAAAAACTTTTTTAATTGTTTTTTGTTTTTCTTATCATTTCCATCAAAAACTGTTGCCTTGTTTGCCTATTTTACTGTGACTGTTGAATTTGCCTAAATTATAGTTTTGCCTCACATCTTTTTATCACACTACGCATAAAAAACTAGTATTTTGAAGAAAAAAAATTCTTGTAGTTTTGTAGTTATATGCAAAACAACAGCATCAGGACTACTTTATAAATTGGAGAAGTATAATTTTGCGCGCCGTTTTTTGGACAAAATTTGAAAAGTAGAGAATTTAATTCGCGATTGAAAACTTGATGCTGATTTAACGTTGCCATACACAAGATTTCCGGCTTTTTCAGTGTGCTGGCCTGTTTTCAAATTTGATTCCCAGATTTTGTTCTTATGTTGGGCTTCAAATTGTAAATGTTATCAAACTTCATAAAAGAAAACAAAGGACGAATTTAAAGAAAAAAACAGATTTGATAGATCATTTGCTAGAAAAAGTAAAAAAAAGTTATAATTTTTTTGTCTTGGAAGTGTGAACATTTTCTCAAAGAAGTCCTGATGGGATTAAAACTCCAATTTGATGTATTACTGGAGCTTCTCCACCGTTTTTTTTTGCTATTTGATTTTGCTTTAAGAAACCATTTTAACGATAAGTTGTCCTAATCAAATTTGGTCGTAGGAAAACAGATCAAGCTTGAATAAGTGTTCAATAATTGGAAAACTTGCACTTTATGAAAAAGAAAGTTAAGTGTACTGCTGAACAAAAAAAAATTTTCATGTGAGAACACTTAGGTGACAAATCATTCTTACCTTTTCAACTGGCAAACACGTCCATTTACATAAAGTATAGCAAAAACAAAACTTTGCGAACAAAGCGAATAAGGCAATTGAAGCGCAAAAGTTTTTTGTGAAAAAAAGCCAATTAACATAACCAAATTTCAGAATGGTAGAAATCAATTTTGTTCAAGGAAATTTCAATTGCCCGTCTTCATTCGCACAACTCTAAAGTTGAACATTTTGCTGGAAAAATTAATCATCAAGAGTTATACAAGTCCATATAAGCAATGTAGAGTCACGGGACAAGTTTTTGAGTTCAACAAGCAAAAAAGCGAAGTTTTCCTCACGTTTGAGAAAACTTTTTTGAATTTTTCGGTTGAAATTTTGTTAGCTGAAACAAATGCTGAATCAATTTTTCGGAAGAACTTTGCCGGGTAAAATTTAGGAAATTTCATTTTGAAGGCATAAACAAATCAGTATGTCAAAACTAGATTCAAAAGTGTACTGGCTGAGGAAACAACTTTAATTTGAATTTACAGGCTACAATTGATTCTTTAAGAAGCTGATGAGCTTGTCGTACTCATTGTGCCGCGGAAAAACGACAACCAAATTAATCGGAAGAGTTTTTTAGTCCGATGTCAAGAATCGAAAGACCATTTTGAGCCGATAATTTCAAATTTCTGATTCTGACTGCAAAATGCCGCTAGAGCAAGAACAACTCTGAAGCCACCCGCATTTAAGTTTAAAAAAATTGACTAAAATGAACTTTTCTTGGCTCTTTTTCCTTGCCCCCCCCACCTGCAAAGTTTTATATTTGAAGTTACTGTTACTTTTGTCCGATTGTCATGAAAAATGACATGCAGACTAACTGGGCCATGACAAACATATTTGGTCTTCATAATTAACCTGGTAAAACCACTCGTTAGACCATAAAATTCATGTTTGTGTGAGGTGGGGGGAAAAGGAAAAAGAGCCCGTTTCTTGACTAATTTTTTGCCGGCACAATCGGTTACCTTTTCATCTGGAAACGAGGACATGAAATGAAAATCAATTAAAACCCATCTTTTTCTCTTTTCAAGCTGAATATAATAAAATAAAATCCATTGAATTGTTTTTAGTTAATCAATCTTTTGCAGCATTCGACAACTTAAGAAAACATTTTCCTAATTCAAATAACTAATGCAGAAATAATACAAATTGTTTCAAAACGTACTGATTCAACAGCCTACTCGAATTCTAAACCGTTTCAAACTTTTAAAATCGCCGTATTGATGGTAGGTATACAGTGCTGATTTAAATTAACCGGACAAAACGAGCTAAACTTGAAATTTAAAACGCGTTTTTCTCAAATTGGGTTAAAATTAGACAAAAAGTGAAGAGAACAAAAAATGCTTAGAATTTCACCAGAATTAATATGGTGCCATTTTTTCTCCAAAATTCTCAACAAAAATTTTACCCCAAAAATGGGTCATTTTGGCTTTTTTCAATTAATCAAGGATTACGCTGAAACTACTTTGTTAATTGATAAGAAAGTT